AATTCGTTTTGGCTTGTCGTTTATATTGCTATAGCTTCTTATATTTTTAATTCTTGTTCTTTTCTAAATACTGTTAATTGAAAGGATTTGTTGTGGAGTGAGGGGAACTAAAATAGCCTAGCTATGTTTACAATATTTATTATAATGTTTATAAACATTTCGCGTCGGCATTAGGCCTATTTCTGAATGAAACAATAAAATGCGACTTATACGCGACTTTTTTCCCCCTAAAAACACTTTTTTTTTTATACACGTAGCATATTTTAACCATGCAGCAAACCTTTTAAAATATTTTGATAAATATATTTGATTACTGAAAAAATCAATAATTAAATGACTTTTTAAACCGTTTAACTGATTGTATTAATCGGTCAAAATTGTTACGGTCGGTTAAACGGTTAAAATGAACATCCCTAGAAAACATATATGTGCACACATATATACCACACCCCAGTTTGTGCAAGACCTGCCCGGGACATCAAGGCAGTGATGAGCAATTTGAATGAATGTGAGTTGATCTGGAAGTTTCTGCCAGTCCGTTCTGCTGACGCCCACCCGTGTTACCCACACGCTCAAGGTCTAAGCGTGTGCACATGTGCAGTGGGGTCTGTTATGGAGTAGTGTTGAGGGAGGCCAGCTGCTGTCTCTCCCTGCTGAATTATTGAGCGTAGAGACTCTTCTTTGTGTGCCGTACAGAGAAAGCAAGAGTGCGTGTTATGTGCATGCATGTGCAAATGCTCATGTGTATGAATAATGCAGCACTGGGTATCAGAGCAGTGAGCCATAGGCCTCAGTCGGGGTAGCGCCATATTTGATTTCGGATGAGAAAGGATGCGAGGCTCTGAGGGATGGAAGTCCAGTGTGTTCAATACTGTTTTCTGCCAGTATGGCAACTGTTCAGCTGGAGAAACGTTTAGTAGGCAAAAGTTCATTTTTTGAACAGAGTCAACCCTGAATCCATTTACCTAAAGCAAGCTTTAAAAACCTGACATAGTTTTTCATTTATGTATCTTGTAAATTGTCATTTTATATATTTTGTCAACTTGTTACTCGCCATGAAAATAGCCAAAGAAGCTGGAGTTGCTTTAAAACTCCAACCAACCAACTTGACATTTTCTGTAATCATTTGTGAAATTTATTAGCAATTTCTAAGGAATCAATTATATCATAATACAATAATTAATAGTCAATAACAATGCCAGTAAGTTTCACAATTTACAGTTAAACTGACTATCACAACAAAAAGAATAAACATTCCTTCCTTTTAAAAATTATTAGTATAAATTAGGGCTGCACGATAAATCGCATGCGATATTTAGCGCGCATCTTATCAGTAAAGCCGGTTCTGTAATCAGCATCACCTGCGGGCTTTCACATTGAGCAGCATTAACTACACAGAGCCGTTGTTCACTGACGAGCAGCGCAAAAAATTGCGCGAATAAGATGCGCGCTAAATATCGCATGCGATTTATCGTGCAGCCCTAGTATAAATATTAACAAATGAAATGAAACTAGCATGGAGCCTTTAAATATTTCTCATTTATGTAAGCGCTGCTTGAAGTTCTTCAAAGAATTTATTACATAAACAGTTCATAATAAAATAGAACCAAGCAGTAGAGAAATTAAAAACATAAAAAATGACAAAGTTGACAATAGAAATAAAACAACTGAACAAAGATACATATTAGGTCAACTGTTTAAGTAAAAAGTTCTTTATCTAAACTATCTCTGGCAGAGATGCAACTATTTGAAAATCTGGAATCTGAGGGTGCAAAAAAATCTAAATATTGAGAAAATCGCCTTTAAAGTTGTCCAAATGAAGTTCTTAGCATTGCATATTACTAATCAAAAATTAAGTTTTTATATATTTACGGTAGGAAATTTACAAAATATCTTCATGGAACATGATCTTTAATGAATATCCTAATGATTTTTGGCATAAAATAAAAGAATTAATCATTTTGACCTATACAATGTATTATTGGCTTTTGATACAAATATACCCCCAGTGACTTAAGACTGGTTTTGTGCTCCAGGGTCACAAATTATATTCCTAATCAATTGTTTAATAAAAGTATTTAAATATTTTTAGAGCATTTGCACATGCATGTATTTGGCTATAATGATCTGGTGTTAAGAGTTTATAAACTAGCCTACTCTAGTTTTGCTGGCTGATGTTTCTGGAGAGTATAGTATTTCTGCAATACAGTTACTGTGAGGATGGTTGCATTTAGGTATAAATTGTGCTTTATTGTCATGAAAAATGTCACAATGTGTCTTAATAGTCCTTCAAATAGGCTCAATTTTTTGTCTGTGTTATTTCTTTTACTTTTGATTTTGGGATGAAATGTGACCAGTATCTGATCTCTGGCAACTCAAAAAGACGAATGTTCCTCTCTCTCTCTTTCTGTCTGTCTCTCTGATGGAAGTGGCGACCGTGCCTGTGCTTTAGATCTGTGCATGCCCTGCGCTGAATGCCTGCGACTAACTGGCTGCAGGACAGGCTGCAAGTGGGATGGGGTAGAGCTGCCGTTATGTAGCGCCCCCTGCCTGCGCTCGATGTCACCACAGTTTGCCCTGGATCCAGGAACACATTCTCCCTTCCTTTCATCTCTGCTCACTGGGCCTAAAACTGCATGAGCACCAAGCACACAGCATGAGTTGGCTAACGTTGGGTCAAAGGTTATGTTGTTTTGAACAATCCCTCAAACCCTTGTAGGTACCGCTATGTACTGTGATGCCACCGTGATCATGTGATGGATGGGTGGGTGATAGGGGGCGGAGCCTGCTATGTGTGGGATGCTGATAGGGCTGCCACCATGGCAACCAGTCTGATGTCCTGTGGCTGACCTTTTTTTTTTTGACCTTTCGGTTCAGCAGGTGCCTTCCATGAACAATCTTGGAGAAGTGTGAATCAGACAGTAATACATGTACACTTCACTCTGAATTTGGTTTACATTTGTCACATTTAAAATGGATGATTCGCCCAAAAATTAAGATTCATTTAGTCAGCCTTATGTCACAAAAGAACACAAAAAGAAGAAATTGTGAAGAATGTTCATGCTGCTCTTTTCCATATAATGACAGGCTGCCAAGCTCCAAATAGCACAATAAAATCCTCATAAAAGTAGTCCGTATGATTTGTGTGTTAAGTCTTCTTAAAGTCTTATGTTTGTATGAGGAACAGACCAAAATTTAAGTTAAATCTTTTCCTTCACCGTAGCTCTCAGATCTGTGGCATTAAAAACATTGTGTGGTTACAAGACATGCAAGAAGTCGTAGAGTCATTGATGGCAAACCTGCTGTGATGCACTTTAATGAGGCAAGCGCAAAGATTTGAGAGCTAGAATGGACGGTCCGATTTGTTTTGAAATCCTACTTATATTTAAGCTCAACTTAAATGTCTTAAAGTTTCTCATACAAAGCTATTGTATTAATTTGTATGAGCCGTATCGACTAAAAAAAAAGTCATATGGACTACTTTTAGGATATTTTGTTGTTGTTTTCATTTTTGGAGCTTGACAGATTCTTTCTCCTTTTACTTTTGTGTTTAGTGGAATAAAAGTACTGTTGACAGATTAGTATTTATTATAAT